CCACAATAAAGCAGCTCCTCCTGACAGCGAGCGTCCGCCTGCAGCCCGTCACGTGACTTCCTGAGAGCCGCCGCCACCGGCTGCTCTTTGTCCGGACCATGAAAAGGCTCGTCCTCGTGTTTCCGAGGAAGCCAAGCGTGACCACTTCTTCTTCTTCTTCTTCTTCTTCTTTTCCCTTCCCTTTAAAATCCCAACCAACATCCCGACCAGTGGGCTCCATCAGGCCGGTCCCGGTGTGCCCCACTGACCCCGGCTGCCCCTCCTGGAGTCTCGGGTTGCAGCTCCGTGTTTACTGATGCGGGACGACTCTTAAAATGTCTGAAGGAGAATAAAGAGCCTCCTCCGCAGCTTGTTTGTGTTTGTTTACCGGGGCGTTACGAGGAACGTCGCCGCGTCACCAAACACCCAAGGTAAAGCGCGCCCCGCGGGGCCAAGTTCAGGCCGCCCCGTGCCGGAGCGCGGCCGGAGGGCAGCCGTCTATCCGGTGCGTAACGCGAGAAGCGGCGCTCCAGCTGTGGCCGGAGTCGCCTTTCGCTCGCACTTCCTGGAATGAAACCGGAGCCGAGGCCCGACGGAGTCTCCGGCTCGGTTTTTCAGAATGAAGCCGGCTTCATAATTGATGAGGCGGGCCGACACGGAGCTGCCGTATCCATCCACAGACACAGCAGGCGGCCCGCTGCTCCCCGGAGCGTCAGGCGCTCATCAAGTATTCAGGTGCGCCGAGCCTGACCAGCTCTGACCAGCTCTGGAAATTTAATCATCACCGCGGCTAAAAGGAGGCGACGGTTTGACAGCAGCTTAAAAAAAAAACCCTGACAACATGCCGCCAGAGGAAGAGCCGAGGTGTCGGTGGCACATGAGGAGAATGGGTTTGTTTTTATTTTACGCTCACGGTTAAGGTCCGAAACACGGCCGGTAATTAGTTTATTTCCAGCTCTACAGTTAACCCCCTGAAGTCCAAAAAAGAAATGTTTAAAATGACACCGTTTATCAGGAAGAATCCTCCAGGTTTTATCTTCCTGATGGACCTTAAACTAACGTGGAAGGTACAAAACAAAACCAAACCTGAGCTTAAAATCACAGCATTTCATCTAAACATGCTTTTTTATGTCTTAACTGCAAATCTGCCAACAACAAACCTTTTGCTTGCACCACATTCTGTAGAAAAACTAAAACTTCCCGTCTCCTCGGCTGAGCTGCAGGCAGTGTAACGCCTCTGTGCACTTTAATTTTTGTAAAATGAACCAAACATGTCTTATGATTTATGGCATTCCAACTGTGTCACACTGCATATAAAACCTTTCTGAGTTCCCTCTGCTTCTAGTCCTGGTTGTTCTGGTTCCACAGAGGTGCAGGACTTTATATGTAGTGAAAAATGAGGCCACAGTGAGTAAAAGTGCGACAAAAAACCACCCAGATCAGGGTTCAGAGGGTTAATGCGTGACAGTGTTGTTGGTAATTTAATGTAAGTTCGGTCTAAACATTTAATTGAAATACTGTCAGGTGCTGAAATTGATATTTTACAGACTGCAGCAAAAAAAAGTAAAGAAAAAGATGATCGAATTAAAACTGAAAAAGTAAAGAAAAATCAAAACAGAAATGAATTAGGATCCAGACAGCTCCTTTAAATTAAGAACATTGTTCTTACAGTAGATTTGCTAACTCTACGTCATCGTTTGTGCTTTTCATCAGTGTTTATTTTAATGTTTTCCCTTGTTTGAGTCATTTCTAATGGTGATGAATGCAGCTGTTTTTCTCAGTAACTTTATTTTCTATCAGCTGTCTTTCTTTTCAGTTTTCTGCCACTTCCCTTACTTATTGTTTGGTTTAATAAAAAAAGTAAATGCAAACTGGAGGCCCCTAATTTAAGGTTCTGTTGTAAGTTTTAATTTCTCTGTGTTGAAAGTAACAGGACACTAAAACTCAGAGCATTATTCTCCTTCACTGCTGAACCCGATGCTGTCGTTTCTCCTGGAGGCCACTAGAGGGCAGCAGCACACACGTTTTAATCAGCCGATTCGCAGCAACAAAAACCCAACAAACCGACAGAATGAGCTCTGCTGAGTCTGCGTCTCGTCTGTTATCAGTGTTTTTTCATGTGTTGTTTTTGAATTCTTCCACGACAGGAATTCACCCGGCAGGAGATAAAAGTGAATGAAGGAGCGAATGAAGGAGTGAATGAAGGAGCGAATGAAGGAGCGAATGAAGGAGAGAATGAAGGAGCGAATGAAGGAGCGAATGAAGGAGCGAATGAAGGAGCACTCACTGTGAGAGTCGGAGCTTGACGTCGGCGACGCTGTACTGGCCCTGGAACGGGTGGCTGCAACAGAAACGACACAAGATGAGGCTCAAACGTGAGATAATAAAGAAACTACAGTAGCATAGATGTAATTTAAAATGAGCTCATGGTGCAAATTCTGATCAGTTTAGCTGCAATCAGGGCTCGTTTATGACTTTCTATGAATTTTACTCCTCTAGTTTGCAATAATTTCTTTATTTTTGACTCAATTTTAGTTTATTCTTGCCCTAAATCCTATGTTATTCTGGTTAATACCTGTTATTAGGTGTACATTCTAACATTAGCTTGTGTTTCTGGTACATTTTGTCTCTTTAGTCTCACATAAAGCACTTTGGATTGTCTTATTGTTATAAGTGCAAAACAGCTCAACCCTTAAACTTTGTATAACAAGTCCTTATGCAGCATTTGCCTGTTTTATAGTCACTAAAGCCTCGTGCACTCTTTTAATCTTTAAACTTTTAATCTGACAGCAGCTGAACTTGTCGGTTTCTGAATGGGCAGCAGCGCTTGGTTTCTACACATTTTAACTCCAATTTTGGTCCAAAAACATCACAGAGAACACCAAAAAAACACACTTTCATACTTTGTTCTACAATTTCAGATCTATTACAAACTGAAATCGCCATAAAAATAGTACTTTACTGCCATTAAAACAGAGTTTGTACCAGGTTTGATTATTGAGACTCCAATAATGACGGTAAATCTTTACTAAACGTTACTATGAGCTGATGTTAAGTTCGTCGATTCCAGCTGTTTCCTCTGAGTTTATTAAATACCTGCAGCCTCAGACAGCAGCAGGATCCGTAAGATTATCCCCAGATTATCTAAAGTGAGAGAGTTTTATGCATTCATGCGTAACAGAAGGACCTCCAGTTGTTATGTATAATTACAAACTGTCCTGGACGTGGAGACAGGACTGATCAGACACTGTGTGCTTTGCAAGACAATTAAACAAAGGCGCTCCCTCCTTTTAAACAAACATTTCATGACATTAATAATAAGTGTGTGCTGTGTGTTTTGCAAGGTGCTGGGAGTCTCTGCAAAGTCCTGACATCTAAATGTGATAATCTGATAATCCTCAGATGGGCTGCTAACGTTTACAGTCAAGTCGAGTTTAAAGTCACGGAGGTGTCTCGCTCCGGCTCGCCTACCCCGGAGTGATGGCGGTCATGGCGGGGTGCTTGTTGCTGTACCACACCCGGTAGTTGTGGCTGATCTTCCAGGCCGTGACGAAAGGAGCCCCGTAATCGGCCAGCAGCCTCTCGTTATCTGAACACAGGAAGCAGAGGGAGCGTAACTGGATTTACAGTCAATTAATGTGATGATCGTCGAGAACATGCAGGACATCATCATCACAGCTACAGTCGTAATTAGTGAAGCTGATGAACAGGGCGAGACCTCTGCAAAGATTTGTCTCTACATGCTCGAGAGATCCTACATTTTTTATGTGTTTTCAGACTGTAAACACTGCCTGCAGTTCAGCCGAATAGTCACCAAAATGTTTATCAGTTGACTCAAATGAGTCACGAATGGTTGCACAGCTGCAGAGTTTTTTGATTTTTGCAGAATCTTGTCAGAGCAAATTATTTACTTCATGAAATATCACAATTTTCAGCTTAGATTTGGTTGCGTTTTTTTAAAAGAATGACACATAACAGAAGATAGTTCAGCATGTAAAACATTTCTCCAGAAGTATGCGTGTGGTACCAACACGATGAACGGGAGATGTTTCACCTTTAAATAGTTTCCTTATTCATCTCCTACACAGCCTGCAGCTCAGCCAAACACTCCCTACAGGTTTCACTGCTGCGCTGAGAAGAGCAGATTGTTTTTTTTTTTAGTTTGTTTCGGCGTCTGCTTGGAGCAAATCGTTCATTTTTGGTGAATTATTAAGTGAGACACGATAATGTCTTAACACTGTCCCAATATCACCATGTTAAGCTTGAACTTCCTCCATTTTTTCCAGTTCAATGATCATGAAAAAGCTGAAAAACTGATGATTATTTTATTTATTTACAGTTTCTGACTCTGCTATATGGTGTACTTCTTTTTTAAAGAACAAGCCGTTCATAGAGGGTTAAAAAATTTCCTCCCTTTTATATTTTTGCTGATTATTCTATAAGCATCACACAGAGTTCTCATCTGTTCACCTACAGACTTGCAGGTATTCTTATTATGGAACTCCACGTGGTGAATCATTAGTCACTATTTCTTGTACATTTTATTTAGGATGTCGTTGTTGCAGCTGTTTGTTGTGCTATAACGAGCTTCCTGAGTCGCCCCACCTTGCTGCAGTGCGGAGGACAGTAACGAGTGGAGGTAGAGGGTGAACTGGGCCCTGATCCACTCGTCTCCGCCCTCCCAGCCCGTCCCGTCCAGGAAGACGTCGTCGCGGTTTTCCGTCACGTGTTTGACCAGGTAGTCGGCGAACCGCAGGTCGGCCGTCGTCAGGCTCAGGATCTTCCGCAGCTCGGGGTCCTGGATCTGGATGCGAGCTTCCTCCACCTGCGGCACCAGACGAGACAGTCGGCGTTAAAGGCGATCGATTAGAAGCGAGGACGCTTCGAACGCGCGGGACTCACCTCCACGATGGCGTCGCTGAGGTGCCGCTGCTGGTGGAAGAGGATGTTGGTCGCCCCGGCAACGAAGCCTCGAACCGTGACGTCCGACAGCAGGTGATGCTGCTGCAGGGCCATGTAGGGCAGGCACAGGTAGCCCTGGCAACAACACGAGGCAAAGGTCGCCGTGTTTACGTCTGAGTCGACTGATGTCAGAGCACTAACACACACAAAGGAAGCCGCTGCAGCCAGAACACACACTAGCGGCTGAGCGGGAGGTTTTATGGGGTTTTTATTGCTCGTTTATTAACCAGTATTGATATTTTATGAACTGGTGTCTCTAAAGTCTATAAATCTCAAATCCTTCTTTTGGCTTTTTTAGCTAAATAAACTTGCAGCCTTGTGCAGATTTCGTTTGAACGCTGTGGAGACAAATTAAACAGAGTTCCGGATGTTGTAGGAAATGTTTACGCACCAATTTAAGCCATTTTCTGCATCAACTAATGGAAGAAATGTCTTTATTTATGGAAGCTTGTGATTTAAACATCGAGGGGGACGTATTAGCCCCAAAATGTAGCATCATAAAAAGCAAAGAGGGGCTTTTTAAGTGTACAGTCATGGCTATACTGAAGGTTTCTTTTAAAAAAGTGCATTAGAGCTTCAAAACAGTTTGTGGAAACTCAATTAGTTTTATCCAAAGCAGGATCAGACAGACCAAAGGGGAGCAAAGCATCAGAAGATCAGTGCATCAAGATTTGAAAACTGAAAGATTAAAAAAAGCAGTTTCATCACAGATACAGAATTTACTTAATTAAAATAAAATGAAAGACTCGAGTCGAGCAGCGTCTCTGAACCACTTCAGAAGAAAATAATTCAGCTGAAATAAAGAGAAATGGTTGTTACAGAAAAGTGTTTCTGAAGAATTATGTTGGTTTTTAGTTCATTTATGTTTTAGGTCTGCTAAAAAAAAAAAAAAAAAAAAAGCTATCAAGACAAGAAGGCTGAGTTTGTAGAGTTGTCAGTGGTTTGCCTCTTATTAAGAACTGACTTATGTTTTGTGATTGTGCTGCAGACAAGTTGTTTATTTTCGCATTATTAACATTTTATAAAACGTCTCCCGTAGCAGCAGATTAGTTCTGAATGATGATGGATGAATCTACTTCTTTAGCTTTTATATTTAGGTTTGAACATAGAGGAAAAATTGGCTTTAATTTTTTGATATTGGACTTTATAGCTTTATTAGAGGAGGTGAAATTAAGTCTCATTTATTGGCTGTTGGCTTATTTATCAATCTTGTTGTCTGTTCTGTTGTTTTGGGGGATTAAAGAGGCTTTTTTCTGCCTGAACAGGAAAAACTAATCAGTCAGTTTTACTTTAATAAAAGAAAAAGAAAAACATAATCACTAACGGCTGAATGTTGCATTTACAGCAGTCACAATTAGTCTGGTCATAAGTCAGTAAATTGATGAAATATTAAACATTCTCTGGTTTTTCTGCTTTTGTTTGTTTTATATCGCCTGCACATTTAAGTCTTTGTGTTTTAAACTGTAGCTCTGACAAGAAAACATCCTGAAGACGTAACCTTTGTTTGATGAAACCACATGCAGACTAATGACCGGTAGCTGCAGTTACCTTGGTGAAGATGGCGAGCGGCAGGCCGTACTGATCCTCCTCCAGACCCGACACCAGCCCCTGGATGACGCCTCCCTGCCCGGTGGCCGCCTGAGGCTGCACCGTGATGGGCGTCCCGGGTTTGGAGTCGAAGGCGTCCTGCAGCGCCGTCTCGGCCGCCTCTTTGGGAGCGGCTTCCTCCAAGACGCTGGGGTCCAGAGTCTCCCAGTCGCTCTCGGAGGACTCCGGAGAGGTCCGCGACGGAGGTTTGAGGAGGTGGTTGTCCGACTCGCCGCTGTTCCCAGAGGAGAGGGACTCGGCGGCGGGCTGGCCGGCCTCCACCCCCTCCAGCTCCATCGTGGTGTTGGCGATGTCGGTGACGGACACGGAGACGAACTCTTCGGCTCCTGAGACGCTTTCGACCAGACTCGGGTCCTCCGAGACGCTGCCCTTGGGCCTGTAGTGGGACGAGTCCACCAGGCCGTGATCGATCATACCTGTACAAAGGTAAGCGACGTCATACACAGTGTCTATAAAATATATGCACCACATCTGGAAGTTTCCCCCTTTTACTGCTTTTCAACATTGAATCATGGTCATTTGGCTTTTTAGCAAAAAGACTGTCTCAAGTGATTGTTGTGTAAATACACCTGCATGTAGAAGGTCCAGTCACTAGTGAATTAATACTCGTGGATAGAACTACACCATGAAGACTCAAGAACACCTCCAGCAGCTCTGTAGAAATGTTACTGAAAAGCATAAGTCAGGGGACGGATACAAGAGAATTTCTAACTCACTAAATATCCTTTGGAGTTCAGTTAATCCTCAAGAAACTGAGGGGACATGCGTAAATCTGACTCGAGCAGGACGTCCTCAAAAACTGAGTGAACGAGAGACAAAGAGAAGGAGGCCACCAAGACTCCTATGACTCCTCTGACTGAGCTACAAGTTTCAGCAGCTGAGATGGGAGAAGCTGTTGGCTGCTCCTCTCAAGTCGAGGCTTTACGGGAGAGTGGCAAAGAGAAAGAAATATGAAATGTCGACTAGAGTTCACCAGATGGCATGTTGGAGACTCTGAAGTCAACTGGAAGAAGGTTCTTTGATTTGCTGAGACCAAAACTGAGCTTTTCGGTCATCAAACTAGATGCACAGTGAAGCACGGCGGTGGCATCATCATGATGTGGGGACGCTTCTCGGCAGCAGGTCATGGAAGGCTTGTGAAGGTAGAGGGTGAAATGAATGCAGTGAAATCCTGGAGGACAACCTGATGGAGGTTTGCGACAGAATTGCGACTTGAGAGAAGATTTGTTTTCCATCAAGACGACAAAAATACATAAATTAAGGTCAAAAAAGCCAAATTAAATTTACCCAAATTCAATGCTGAGATAAAAAAGGAAAACTTCCAAGCTCATAGAAGGTTTCTGCACAAATAAACAACCATGCAGCCACTCAAAGGCCTGACGTAAGGGACAACATCAGCGCAACCTGTTTGCCTTTTGGAGCTACTGACCTGGAAACAGCGACAAAACTGTCATCAGAGCTCCGACTAGTCTGTTGACAGGGGACACATAGAACAGGACCTGCGAACATAAAGCCAGAAAGCAGACGACATGTGGAATCATATTTCCAGTAGCACAACTGGAAAGATGCATAATCTCAGGCTGTAATCTCACCTTCTTCTCCAGCAGGATCAGCTTGAAGAGGATGAGAACCTGCAAACATTTAAAGAAAACAAACAGAATCAAGTTGTGTTTAGTCTTGTTTTTATGCTTTTATCGTTGCTTTTTGGCGTACGCCGCCTCCCACCTTGTGTCTGAAGTGCAGTATTAGATCTCTTGGTGACAAACCTGAAGAGAGAGAGAATCAGCAGGACGTCAACAAACCAGGAGTTTACCCTCAGAGAAAAATGCATTAGAGTGAGCAGCAGTCACATGTTCACGGGCACAATAACAACAAATGTGGGCTTTTCTATTTCTGTAAAACTACACAGGAGGAATATTTAATGTATTCAAGTGTGACCAGAAACTGCCACAGATGCTGGTTTAAATGACACCGTGGCAACTTCCTGGCTTCTTCTTACCATCTATTGAGCTCAACTCCCATAAAAACGACGAATAAGAGTTTAAAATGTGCTCAAGTGTCACCATAGTGTGCATTTGTGTTTGGCCGTCTACCTAGATACACCTGCGATCCCTCCAGAGTGGAGCCCCTCAGCGAGCCGTTCATGTGGTCGAACAGTTCCTGTGGAGGAAACGGGAAGGTGAGCAACAACAAGTCGATAACGGGGTCACGGTGAAACCATAGACCTTACAGAAGATGGACGTAGCAACCGGCCCTGAAAAATGAAGCCAACCCGGAAGTGTCAAAAACCTGCAATATCACTACGTCTGCTCGTCCTGGCTCCACAAAGTCCTGGCTCCCATAGACTTAGACATTAGATTCTTAGAATATTACTTTTTATGGTCAAATCCAGAGATCAGGTGGTCAATCTGAAAATAAATCAGTACTGAATTTTTAAAAATCGTCAACATTTTGCGGGGCAAGGGGCGTGGCTGGCTTGATTGACAGTCAGCAGCGACCATACAGACGAAGCGAGCAGAAGGCGGTAAATGTGGGCGGGGCAGAGAGGGCCCGCCTCTCAATCCGTCTGACCAATCGCTGCTCCTATGGCTCCGCCCCCCTCCAACGATTTTTGGCTCCAAAAATCCAAGATGTCAACCAGGAAGTAGCAAAACCCTGGCTTCATGTTCTCAGTGCAGAAACCAACAGGTGACGTCACGGTAGCTACGTCCATCTGTTATACAGTCTATGGGCGAAACGCTGCCAGACGGGAGCGTCGTCTCACCTGCAGGATGGAGATCTGAGAGAAGTCCTTCTCCTCGAAGTAGGCGTGTGTGATGAGCTGCAGCTTTGCTTGAAGCAGGCCGTAGAGAGGCTGCAAACAAACCACAGCGAAAACGTATGTGAGTCATTCGCAGTGCGACCCGTTAAAACCTCCGTTTCTTCACGAGCAGCAGTAAATTATGCGCTGCGAAATCAACACAAAACACTCAGAAATTGGACGAACTCGAGCACAGAAACGGCTTCAGCTTGGATTCTTTGCTAAACGAGATAAAATAAAAACATCCTCTGGCCCATATTTTCCCTCTTTTTATCTCCACTCGATCATGTGAGGTCACAGCGACATTTTCCGACCCCGTGACTTGACTCTTGATTTAATTCTGAGCCTGAAATCAAGGCTTATTCTATTATGTTTTATAAGATAATCCTCCGACTGACTCACCACTCGGCTGAGGACGCAGACGCTCTTCTGAACCGTCTCCCTGGTGACGTCAGCCTGCCGGACCTTCAGGGCCTGGAGAGGGATTCGGAAAACAAAACAAATTGTGCAAATGTCCGAGGCCACTTCAGATGTTTAGATGATTTGTGCAGGGCGATCAGGGAAGAGTAGTCACGAGCTCACTCTGCAGCTTTAAGAACAAACACAAACGGGACTGGACTCCCAAACGCTGCCGAGCATTAATCTGCAGCTTCTGGTTTCAGATTTTCCACCAATTTTGAAACCTGCCTGCGGGGATTTGCTCCAATTCAGCCACAAAAACGCGACTGAAATCCAGCACTGATGTTGGTCTGATAAGGAGCTGAGGCGATATCGTTATGCAGGTCAGTCAAGTCCTCCCACACAAAGGGGTGAAAACCATTTCTTTTCTTTGGCATCAATCTCACCTGACAAAAACACTTTACAGTTTATTGGGAACACCTGTCTGTCTGTCTGTCTGTTTTTGTGTAATGCAGCATCACAAACCGCACCCTTTAAAATGTGGATACTCTGAGCAAATAAGAAGTTTCTGGGCTTTTTTTTGCCATATTTTTACTCACTGTGGGCTAATTTTTCACTACAATATAAACTCCTGCACCTCTGTGGAAACAGAACAACTTGCTGTTGGGTTTCGGGGTGTACATTTATAGTTTGTGAGCCCAAACAAATTTGTATTCAGAGTCCAAAGTTTGAAACAACTATAGCTCCTGCAATACTGAATTAATCTCAGATATTACATGCAGCACAAAGGTTTGGTCCCAAATCATCTCAAATATTGTATACAAACACTTCTGGCCATTAAAACGAGACTCTTTGCTTTCATCCTAAACAGAAAACATGACATGAACTGACCTTTGCTTCTATTTGGCGATAGCAGGACACTCCATAGACACACTTCATGTCTCCGCTGAGGGGCGGCAGGTGAAAATACACAGTGTCTGCAACAAAACAAAAAAAATACCAGTCATATTAAGGATTGAAAAGCATGGCACATGTTTAAAAATGGAGCATCTACAGGGATCTGCAGTCGAGGTAAACAAATGGGAAATTAGCAGGATGAGAACGTCACATCTGTTCACTTTGACAGGCATTCAGATTAGATAGAGATGTAAGCTTCTCTGGGGGTTTACGCCGCACAAAGAGCTGCAGCGCTTTGATCAATACACCTGACAGCAAGGTACGAAAAGTTCAGAGACGGAGCGGTTATGTAAGAGGGAAGGCACGACGCAGGGAATTAACATCAAAGACAGAACAGCTGAGGAGAGGC